TCAGCAGGTAGCAGGAGCCCAAGCACAGGGCATGCTCCCGTGGTAACGCTGGGCTCCTGACTCCAGATCGTGACAACAGATAACCTGTGAAGCCTGGTAACCTTACTGAGGCCACCAGGGAGATGTTTATTTTCCTCTTTTGCAATTCTGAAATCAATTGAGAAGTATGAGCAGAAGGCACATGACTTCTTGTGGAAATCAGTCTTCCTAAATCAGACCATGTCTCCAGAATTCTGGAAGCGGAAAAACAAAAGGAAAAAAAAATAAGTGGACGATTGTGAATTTCAGAATTTGCATCTTTCAATTGGGTTGAAGACAATTCTTTGATTTCTTTTTAAGGATAATTTCTATTGGAGTCTAGTTGATTTACAACACTGTGTTAATTTCATATGTACAGCAACGTGAATTAGTTATACATAAACATATATCTACTCTTTCTTAGATTATTTTCCCATAAATGTCTTTATAGAGTACTGAACAGAGTCCCTTGTGCTATACAGTAGGTCCTTATTAGTTATATATTTCACATATAGTGGTGTGTATGTGTCAACCCCAAATTATCCCTCCCCCCTTTCTCTCTTGGTAAACGTAAGTTTGTTTTCTACATCTGTGACTCTATTTCTGTTTTGTAAATAAGCTCATTTATAAAGATAAAATTCTGGGTAATGTCCCCATGGTGACTTTGCCTTAAAGTGTTATTTTAAAATTAAGGTGGAACATCTATCATTAGCCACACAACCCATAACTGGCCGTGAAGAAAGCACCGTGTTCTTTACTGCCTTTGCAAAAGCCAATTTCACTCTTAAAACCCAAACTCAACAGAGAATGAGATGCTGAAATCTTAGAACTTTGAATGGCTCAGAGTAACGGTGGTGGTATAAACTTTACAGGCATAACTGAGGTCATTTTCAATTTCTAGACCAGAACCCAGAGCTTAACACATATGTATCAATTTAAACAGACTTAGTCTTGAAAGCTGGGATGATTTTCTTGATGTCAAAAATCCCCAGGGCACTTTTAATGGCACTTATAATTTTTATTCCCACATCTGAAAGTGATTCCATGGGGTCTTGACAACAAGGGTCTCAAGAATCTGTTTGAACCCTTACTAGTTCCTGGATCCCTAAATGGAATACCTCCCATGGTCATCACAGTCAGTCACACACTCACCTGTTATAGGCTTGTGTTTTGTTGTGCTCGCTTTTTACTTGCAATCAACCACAGAGTAAGGTTATGAATCTTGTTATCTGAGAATAGAAAGGCAGGCCACACAGATTCACTGGATGGTAGGAGGGCGCCCAGGTGAGGAAGGGCTTCTCCAAAGGGAGGGGTGTGGGGAGAGCCATGTCTTCACGTCTTCCGAATGAGCTGCATGACTTGGGGCATCTGAGATTCGAAATTTCAAAACTGACAAAACTGGGCTTGAAGATGGTCCTGGCCCCCATCCTCACGTCTCCTTCAGGATCCAGACCCTTCGCAGCACTGAGACCCCCAGTTGGCATTTTAGCATCCTCTGACCAGATCCTGGTGCCACACCAGCCCCCAGCGCTTGAGTGTCAGCGTAGGGACAGGCGCAACTTAGGTGGCCTCCCAGCTACAAGTCATTCCAAAAGCTCCTAACGTGATACGACTGAGCCCCCGCCCAGCAGAACACCTGCACAGACTGTGATGCTCGGGGGAGCCCCCAGGCTCCCCCTCCTTCTGCGGTCCCATCTCACCTGGCTGGCAGGTGAAGAAGCCTGCTCCCTCCCCACACCCGCAGCAGCTGCTCTTTGAATTCCTCCTCTGGGTCAGCGTGATTTCTTTAACCTCGAATATCTACAGGGATGCTCTTATGAGTGAAAAGAAGACAGATGAGGCATGCTGGAGGTGTCACGGGGAAGGACCATAGAATAACAAGCCTCCCACTATTCTTTCGACCTCTGTGGGAGGAAGACGCAGTCATGCTGGAATTTTCTAGCAGCTTCCCCCTTATCAGCAATGCCTCAGACCGATCTTTCTCAGGCCTTTTGCTTTCCCTACCAAACTTGTAGAAGAACTTTTAAATATAAAGTAGCACAATGGGAAAAAAAACCTGAATTCTATTCACTGAAAACCCCCAAAGCACAAAGTAATGACTTACAAGAGCACTGTGTTTTTCCACAAATAAAGTTGTTAACTAGACCTCCTGTGAGACAATCTCTACAGTGAAATGGAGATAGAAAATTTCTCAAAAAAAATTATTCAGTGGTAAAAAGTACATCAGTGGAAAAACATCCCTTTTACCAACCTCTTATGATAGGTATACAATTAGAAGATGTCTGTTTTACCTTCCAGCTGTGCAAAAAGGAAAAGACATGGGGCTTCTAGCACTAAAAGCTGATTTTATAAGAACAATAATGATTTTAAAAAGTCCTTTGGAACAATCGTTTTGTTAATCCTTCAGTAAAGTTCTCAAGCATCATTTTTGAAATAAGCTTTTGCTGAGACTTCAGCTTTCAAACTGAAGGGCAGGGAGCTGATGTGCTTCCTTATTTCATGAGGATCTGGAGCCGCAGTGGAGAGCCGGGGCCTCCCTCCTGAGGGTCCCTGGACGCTGTCTGGAGGGGCTCTGAGGCGGTCTCCCACATTTCACAGGTGTGGTGGAGGCAAGGTTCGATGTCTGGACAATGCATCGACGGTGTCCCCTGAGGTGACCTTGGTCCTACACTGGGTTCAGCTCCTCCACCTGCTGGGGTGGGACTGAGGCCATTTGTAGGGCAGAGGTGATCGCATTTATTATTTCCTTAATATTGAGCAAAGTAACACAATATTACACATCACAAGTGCAAGAAAGAAAAGAAAGAGAGCAGAAATGAAGAGGAAGTGGGCCCAAGCATCGGAACACTTTTGAGTGAGCACCAGACAACACAGCAACATGTTTTTTTTACTTCTTTGAGAGTTAACATTAGAAGATGCGGAGTGTTTCTGGGGCCCTTGGAGGTCAACCATAGTGAGGGGAATAATACTTTCCAGATGAAGCAGTAAAGACCAGTACGCACAATAAGTCGATACAATTGAAAAATTAAAGGGAGATTGTGTAAGAAGAACTTAGTTACATAATTACCGCAAGTATAACTTGCATATTTTCTTCTTATGAGCGTCTATAATACCACATCTAACCGGCTGAGTAAAGGATAACAAAAACATGAAAGTCATGATAAAGAGAGATAATAACAGAATCTAAAATGCAAAGAGGAAGGAGAAAGAAAAGAAAAGAGGGTAAAGAGCGGAGAGGAAAGAGAAGCATCCTGAAAAGGCTCTTGCTGCCATCAGCAGGGCAGAACGGATACTGTTTGGGGCATGGAAAAGCAGCAGAGACCAAGAACAAGTCACAGACTCCTGACGAAGGGGATAAGAAGACAACTGTTGTCTGAAACCTCACGTGCAGGAACGTCTGAAAATTCTACTGAAATGTCCTTGGCAGAGAAGTAGTTCAGGACAACTGCACATCTGGGCTTTGCTCCCAAGCCCATCTGTTCAGTGTAGAAACAAAACCACTGGTGGAAGAACAAGCAAGAAGCACAGAATCACTAAGTTGGGAAGGGGGGATTATTTTTACATCAAGCCAGAGGCATTTTTTAGACTCAAAGTAGAGAACTAAAATGAACTTTTTCTGCTCAGTCGTGTCTGACCCTTTGCAACTCCATGGACTGCAGCATACCAGGCTTCCCTGTCCTTCACGATCTGGAGTTTGCTCAAAATCATGTCCATTGAGTCGGTGATGCCATCCAACCATCTCATCCTCTAGCATCCCCTTCCCTCTGTCCTCAATCTTTCCCAGCATCAGGGTCTTCTTCAGTGAGTTGGTCTTTGCATCCAGTGACCAAAGTGTTGGAGCTTCAGCACCAGTCCTTCCAGTGAATACTTAGGGTTGATTTCATTTAGAATTGACTGGTTTGACCTCCTAAGTCCAATACAAAGGGTCTAACTGAATCCTCAAGTGAGTTTTCAATTAGGTACAGTTGTTACTACAAGTGGAAAATCTAAGATTTGCTGCCTTTTGCAAAAACATGCATGAGGCCATGCAGCAAGCAGGAGGCAGAACCTCAGTATTTGTCTGTCTGGCTCTAGCGCCAGAGCTGTTAAGCACTGCTCTACACTGACTTGTGTTCAAATAATTTTTTTATTAAAACCAAGTCTTTGCCAAGCCGTCTGGGAAAGCCTGGTTTCATCCAGAATCTTCTCTGCTGTTGGGCATGGGTGACAGTCCTACAGAAGCCATGTCAGGGTGAGATGCAGACGAGTAAGACCAAAGTCATTGCACCAGCCTCTGAGTCAGGCGGGAGCAGACCTGGGATCCCAGACATTGGGGAAGGACTCCACGATGCTTCATCAGCTCAAAATTCACCGACAGTGAAGAGGACCACCACCTTCCTGTCTGAGGAACCATTCTCGCCTTCGGACACTTAGAACGCAACCCTGAGCCGCAGCGTTTTACTCACTGAAACATTTTTTTTCATGTTCTTTTCTACTCCACACCGGGGCTTCCCTGGTGGCTCAGATGGTAAAGAATCTGCCTGCAATGCAGGAGATCTGCGTTCAATCCCTGGGTCGGGAAGATCCTCTGGAAAAGGGCATGGCCACCCACTCCAGTATTCTTGCCTGGAGACTCCCACGGACAGAACAGCCTGGCGGGCCACAGTCCATGAGGTCACAAAGAGTCGGACACGACTGAGTGACTAGCACAACTTTGCAGGGATAATCGGCCTCTCCCAGACACGACCTTGGGTCTCTGAGAGAGAACACAGCTGGAGCAGTAAATGGCCCATCAGCATGGTCAGAATCGCGGGCCCCCGTCACCCTCCCAGCGCTGCCCCAGGAGGGCTAGCTTCCGTTCTTCTCCAGCCCCCCACCCCGAGGCCATCCCAGAGAGCACAGCCTTGGGGACCTATCATCGCGAGCACCACTACTCTCGAACGTTTTCTACAGAAAGGAGCAACAGAAACCAAGCGCCCTGCTGCCGCTGAGCATGGTGAAAGATGAGCCCTAACCGTGAGCCCCGTGGGGACCGGGACCGGGACCGGGGCGGCGCGGGGTCCGCCGACCAGCCCTGCCCCTCCGTGTGCGGCCGTGCTGAGGAGGAGCCCACCCTCTCGCCCTCTTGCTTTCCCTTCTCCCGCTCTGCTTCTCCTCCTAAGAAGGGAGGCCGGAAGCAGGGAGGCTCGCAGGGCGGCTCTCTGAGCCCGGGGCGTCCGCGGGCCTGTCCTCGCGGTGTCCTTCCCCGGCCCCGAGTCACGCATCACTCATCTTGTCACATTGAACTCCAGATGCTCCTACCCTAGAGAATGCTCTGACTCCGGCCATTTTTCTTCATTCTCACTAACAATTTGGTAATGAAATATTGATTTTTAGTTAGATTCATATTGATGCTATTAGGTTTGCATTGATAAATCATGCCCAGCTCCTGTCTGGGCGGCCAGAGAGTGCTACACTGAGCCCTGGAGATTACAATCAACTCATTGATGTGTTAATTTGATGGATTTTTTCGTTCTCTGAGAAGGAGTGGGAGGGTGCAAGGAGATTTTTCAGCACAGCCTTGGTAAAGTTTTCACAGTGAGATCGGGACAGTCATTGCAGGCTTCACGGCGCGCTAGCCTCCCAGGAAGAGTCCTCAGGCTAAAGCAGGGCGGGGCTGCAGGCCGGCGGAAGGGCGGGGTGGGGCGGAAAAGGGTCTGGGGGCGTGGGGGGCGGCACACCTAGCGACACAGAGTGGGGAGGGGAGAAGGGATCATTCCCGGAAAGTCTAATTAAACCGTTTAGAGGCCATCGCGGGAGAGCGCGTCCACCTCTAGAGGCCCTGTGTACAGTCCACCCCAGGAAAGCAGAGGCGGGCCAGGGGTGCACCTGGCCGACCTGCAGGCAGGCTTGACCCTCTCCCCTCTGGCTGGCCGGCCTCCCTGGTGGTTTGGGGGCATCTCCCAGGTTCCTTCCCCCGCAAGGTGCCCCTTAGCCAGCAGCGTCCTCGGCGCCTGCCGTCTACTTAGAGCAGCCCCTCGGTGTGATGTACAGCCCTGGGCAGACATAACGCCCCTCACTAGGGGCCGGGCTGGGCTGCACCAAGGCTCACATTATGATCCTCGAAGACCCGGGGCCTAGCAGCTCCAGAAAGAAAGGGCTCTGAGAACGCTTAGGTTGGAATTTTAGAAAGCTTAGGTTGGAATTCATTGTGCTCTCTTTTGTTTGCTTTCTGAAGCCAAAGGATTTCACATTCAAACTTGATGTGCTTCTCGCTGGTGAGCTGTCCAGCCCCTTCCATCCAGTGGGCACCAAGGAGCGGTTCACATCAGCCGTTCCGCGACATTCATGTATGTGCACGCGTGTGTGCACGTGTGTCCCTGCACGCAAAGCAAATGTAAGGCCTGCCATCTGAAACAGAGAGAAAGAGAGAGCCCTCCAGAGCCCTGCCGTGTGTGGCGAGGGAGCCGCCGGCCTGGCCGAGTCATGGGAAGGAGGAAGGAATCCGTCTGCTTCCTTCACCTCGGCGTCTGCGAGAGCTCCTACGACCAACCGAGAGCCTGCCGTCTGCGGCAGGAGAGCGCACGAAGGGGCCCTGTTGTTAACACAGGTGCGTGTGCACCCCCGAGGCCAGCACGTGGGGTCAGCGTGGGGTCAGCGTGGGCTGTTTTCCAGGTTAGCCTAATCTCTGTCTCTGCAGAGGGACAAGGGCAGAGGGAGAGGCAGCTGCACTTCACGGCTCCTTGTCACCCCAGGATATTCTTAGTGGCCATTGTCACTTCATGGCAAATAGATGGGGAAACAATGGAAACAGTGAGACACTTTATTTCTCTGGGCTCTAAAATCACTGCAGATGGTGACTGCAGCCATGAAATTAAAAGATGCTTGCTCCTTGGAAGAAAAGCTATGACCAACCCAGACAGAGTATTAAAAAGCAGAGACATTACTTTGCCAACAAAGGCCCATGTTGTCAAAGCTATAGTTTTTCCAGTAGTCATGTATGGATGTGAGAGTTGAACCATGAAGAAGGGTGAGCGCCGAAGAACTGATCCTTTTGAACTGTGGTGCTGGAGAAGACTCTTGAGAGTCCCTTGGACTGGAAGGAGATCAAACCAGTCAATTCTAAAGGAAATCAACCCTGAATATTCATTAGAGGGACTGACAGTAAAGCTGAAGCTCTAATACTTTGGCCACCTGATGCAAAGATCTGTCTCAGTGGAAAAGACCCTGAGGCTGGGAAAGATTGAAGGCAGGAGGAGAAGGGGATGACAGAGGAAGGACAAGATGGTTGGATGGCATCAGTGGTTCAATGGACATGAATTTAAGCAAGCTCTGGGAGATGGTGAAAGACAGGCAAGCCTGCTGTGCTGCAGTCCATGGGGTCACAGAGTCAGACATGACTGACCAACTGAACCACAACTAAGGCAAGGCTTGGGAGAGCAGAAACTTTATAAACCACAGATCCTTTCAAGACCACAGTCATAAATAACCACTGTAAGCTTCCAACTATCATCACCCACTCCTAAGCTCTCCATGGTTCCCAGCTCCAATCCCCTCCTTCCTTTGGGAGGCTGGTCTCCTGCCACTATGGAAGGAACCAGCTCTAGTCTCCAGGACAAACACCACCCCCAGGGTTCCAAGCTTGACCACAGGCCCAGGTTCCACCTGCAAAGGCATCTGAAAGTCAAAGTCAAAGTCACTCAGTCATGTCCAACTCTTTGCAACCCAATGCACTATAGAGTCCATGGAATTCTCCAGGCCAGAATACTGGAGTGGGTAGCCTTTCCCTTTTCCAGGAGCTCTTCCCAACCCAGGGATCAAACCCAGGTCTCCCACATTGCAGGAGGATTCTTTACCAGCTGAGCCATCAAGGAAGCCCAAGAATACTGGTGTGGGTAGCCTATCCCTTCTCCAGCAGATCTTCCCAACCCAGAAGTTGAACTGGGGTTCTTTACCAACTGAGTTACCAGGGAAGTCCTGCAAAAGCATTTTGTCAGTAATAAAACACTGGCAAAGTCAGAAGGCGTGCTCGCATCAGGAGAACTCAAGGTGCTGGGGAGATGAAGACCTTTCTGAAGCACCATTCCTGCCAGGACCTGCAGTTTTCCATTCTAGGCAACTGGACCCCATGTGGGAAACTAGGCCCCGGAGGAGTGAGCAGACCGTGTCTCAGGTGGATCGGTAGCCAGGAAGAATGGGGCTCTCTTACTCCACGGGGGACCCTGAGAATCCAAGCAGGAAGGTCCTGGGTCATCAGTCTCGGGAATTTCCCATGAAGGTCATAGCTCTTCCCAATGTCAACACATCTTTCTTTGAACCTGCGAGTGATGAAGGTTATAGCTCATTCTCACCTCCTCAAATGCCACCAATGCCTGGACCCCTGCCTCCTCTAGCCTAGCCCAGCCCAGCCCCAAAGAACACAGGGGTCCCCCCAGAGAGGCCACTCTGCTCTGCTCACACCAGGACACTGCAAGTCCAGCTGAAAAAAAGTTACAAAACCCTGGATCAGTAATGTCATTAAGCTCCATCTCTGTGAATCACATAGTCAAAGAGAACTCTCTACTCAACACTGTAAAACCACCTTCATCGCTTATTTCCTATCAGTGTTAATAGTTATGCTAAACACACACATGGGCTAAATTTACAGTCTCCTAAGTGGACCCACCATCTACATCAACAACTCTCATTTAAAGAAAGACCAAATCTCCCATCTCAGTTTGGCCATACTTCCCCAGAGAGGAAGCAGATGTCCACACCCAACCCCCTCCCTTTCTTCCACCTGCTATCTTTGTGGGACCTCAGTCCACCCATGAATACAGACCACCAAGAGTCTATGCTCCCCACAATCTTCTCCACCCCCAAATCTCATTGTCTACATTATGATAGTCTCCTCCTCACTCAATCTCCAAATCTTAGCCCTTCCTTTTCCCAATCGTGTTTGTACTATTGGCACATCATCGATCTTCCTTAAACCTGTTTCATGTCTATCTCCTCAAAAACATACCATGCCCCCCTTACCTAATTTCACACCCTGACCTCCCCACCTGGATTTGAAGTCCTCTGTGAGTTGATGCCAAGCCTGACCAGCCTCTTCCTCCCTGCTCAGCTTCCCTCATCCATCAGATGCGGCATCTTTCTGTAAAGTCAACGTCCTCCATCACCCTGGGCCCAAGTGTAGGGATCTTGACTTTGTTCTTCATTTCACCGTGGGGCCTTTTGTATACATGCATACTAAGTCATGTCCAACTCTTTGTGACCCCATGGACTGCAGCCCACCAGGCTTCTCTGTCCATGGGATTCTCCAGGCAAGAATACTGGAGTGGGTTGCCATTTCCTCCTCCAGAGGATCTTCTCAACCCAGGGATTGAACCTGCATCTCTTGTGTCTCTTGCATTGCAGATGGATTCTTTTACCGCTGAGCCACCAGGGAAGCCCTGACATCTTGTACAAATTCCTGAAGGAAACTAAGATTCAGAGAATCCATCTGCAAAAAGTGTCTTCCTCCCCGTATCACTGAGAGCACCAACATGAGGTTATTCTGCACATACAACGCCTGCAGAGGGGCCCAGTGGACTGTATGCCCTGATGCAACCTGGCCCCTTCCCTGACTCAGCCACCCTGGAAGAGACTTTTCCTCTCAAGTTAGACAAGCATCTCCAATCTCGTCCCTCCAGGAAGCCTTCTCCTCCCAGTGCACTCAAGTTCGCTTGGACCTTGGGCTTCTCCAAGCTCTTGTTTTGCTGAGCAGAGGTTGCGGAGCATCCCAGAAGAGCAGCAGGGAGCACAGGTGAGCTCGCCGTCAACCTCTGATGCATCTGTGATGCCAGACCCGGCAGGTGATGCTAATGGTTGGACCCAGGTGGCCGCCCAGGGCCCATGCACTTCACAGGGTCCTATGGTGCTGTTTCATATCTAAAGGTGGATCTTTAAACAATCTCCAAAGTGCGGTTGATTTCTGATACATTTCATGTCCGACTTCTCTTTTAAAACTTGGAGGAGGGTGAGGCTTAGAAGCACATGCTCTGGAGCCAGACTGCCTGGGTTCAAACCCCAGTGCTATCCTGTGCTCCTGTGCAATTTCAGGGGAGTTCCTCAGCTTCTCTGTGTTTTCCTTATGAACAGCATGAAGATCCTAACATATGTACTCTACAGAGTTGCCATAAGCGTTAAATGAGTTAATACACTTGCTGGACTGGAATGGGGCCTAGAACACCAAGGACACTATCACCTATGTGTCCATTTTTTTCAGGCAAGTGGGACCCTCATTCTTGCTTAGGGGGAGTTTTGGGAGGCTGCAGATCCTGCTTCCTTTAGACTGGTGGTGTCC